GCTGGTGCTTAATGGGTTAACTGGCCTATCTGCCCATGTGTCTATTTAACCCATTGAGTCGCATTGCGCCCTGATGCACCCTACTTTATTATTTTACTCTTTCTAATGCCAGACGATTTCACTCGTCAAGGGGAGAGTGGTTGGGTTAACAAGATATATTGATTTAAACTGTCAGAAGCCCTGGGGGTGGGTACTTTTGGATGCATAATATTATTGTGATGATATCATTCCAACTCTTCATCATCCTCTAAACCTTTGAAGTCTTTTCCACCAAAAGCTTGTCTTATGGCATGATAAGCACATGTTGGTAAAGGTATTCTTCTCTTTCCCAAGTATCCATAAACCAATTGTATATACTATATACTCTCTATAGGCAACACTTCGGAAATACCTATAATATAAGAAACTTTTCATGTAATATTTGTAATGGTTTTATATAAATGAAATTTTCTGATTGATAACAAATTGTGGGGATTTATCAGGGTTAAAAATGGCTATATTATATTGTTTAATAAATCTATATATATTATTACATATATGTGTCTTGCCTGTTTTTATCACCTTCCACGTTATACTTCCTGCCATCTATTTTTCGAAATTTACGCCCTGCCAGACGCAATGACCAGGGTGATAAACAGACCGAACCAAAGCCTGGATGAAGCGTTATGCAATTTGGCTCAGCACCTACTTCTTGTAAAACAAGTTCTGTTCCTTCTGTCCCTGTTCTAAGCAGCCTTCGATTTCTTGGCAGCATTGAGCCTCTCTCTCTCATTTACCAGTAAATCGACTTTACATAGTTCGCATGTACACCTGAAATAAAAAGGAACACCATATAATATCATTGTGATTTGTCAAACGAAAAAGGAAAACATTTTTACATGAGTGTCAACACTAGCCTGCGTACGCCGTAGCGTCTACACAAAATGTAAACACGAGCTCTGTCTCTGAGCTCACATATAGTATACATTTCACCTACCAATTTGATACGGGGATGGTTCCGTTCAAGCGAGACATAAGCAGCTGTCGTCTCCCTTCTTCGGCACGTCTCTCTTCGTTGTATTGAGCTATCCAAGCTGGATCAGCAATCGGTTCGTCTTGGTAAGGTTGTCAGCCTGGCCACTGGTCTTCATCGCTTTGTATTGAGCTGTCTGTAGGAGGCTTCCCTGAACTGCATTATCTTCGATTTCCATTATATAATTTGGTAAAAAAATCATATCCGAATCAAGTTGGCTGTCCGTATTGTCGGAAAAACTTGACGACATTGTTTAAACGAAAAGTTAACCCAAAATGTTATTAAACGGAAAAATCGGACGATATTTTGGACTAAAATTCTATACTGTTTTATTATGATGATACTTGGCAAGTTTAGCGTGTTCTCATTCTTACGTCACTTCCGGCGGTTAACGCCGATTAGTTACCAGTACTTTCAAGCTCGCGGTAATTCGAAAAATCACCAACTTTGAGGCCCAAAAAGTCCATGAAGATCAAATTTTCGTCTAGTCAAATATATTGCAAATGTTCTTAAAATCGTCTAAACTATCAGTAAAAGTCATTTCCCTGACCCTGATATAGGCACTTTAAAGTGATTATGCAACGAAATTTCAAGTCTTTTTTATGAATGCATTGTAAACTCTCTTAGCTTGCTTCGTAACGTTCTTCACTCTCCCGCACATTACATAATGACTTTCTGAAAAAAGTTAATGTCAATAATGGATATATGCCATTTGACGTCACAGTGATGATAATTTGCATATCAAACATTGTAAAATATCTCAAGAAAGAGAACTGAACCTAAGACAGTTTGGAAAAATATCTTATTAGTCACTTTGAATTTTCTCTACTCAATGCAGTCATAATTATAAAAATAAACCTTCGAAAACATGGCTTTAAAACCTTTCGCATTTTAAGTCACTTAACTTTCTCCGCAAACATCTCGTAGTTCAGCTGGGTTGCTAACATCTCGTAGTTCACCTGGGTTGCGATGACATTGTTATTAAAATAAACCTGGATCTTGAAAATATTCGAAAATGGATGCTACGAAATAAACTACAAACTCATCCTACAAAATCGAAATATATGTTCACTGGATCAGCGTATAATATTAAACATCAGGTATCTGGCAACCCTATTGTCGTTAATAATGTTCCAACATCTAGGACTGAAAGTTATATTTGCCTTGGTGTCAATATTTACGAAAGATTGTCCTGGGAAAACATGTTCGTATGATACGTTCAAAAGTCAGTGCGGGTATCAGAGCTATAAGACGTACTAGGTCTTTTGTATCGTCTGCGACACTAAAATTGATCTACAATGCCATTGTGCAGCCCTACTTTGATTTCTGCTGCCCTCTCTGTGTCAACTGTGGAATAGGCCTCATGGACAGGTGACAGAAATTTTAAAATCGGGCTGCAAGAGTAATTTCTGGAGTAACTTACTATGTTCGGACGGTTGAGTTACTCGAAAGTCTGGGTTGGAAATACTAAGGCGAATTTATCTAAAATCTGTTTTAATTTTATGTATAAAATTCTGAATAACCACACCGCACCAAATCTAAGAACATTCTTTCGATTGAATAAAGAATTTGATAATACCTATGATCTTAGAAATAGAGAAACCGATTTGTCTCTTCCTAAACCGAATACAGATTTTGGTAAAAGATGCTTCAAATATAACGGAGCGGTAGTATGGAATAATTTATCGTATGAGGTAAAAGTAACGGAATCTTTAAATTCATTTCAAAGAAATATTAACCAGGCAAACATTTAAAATTGGCTCGTCCTGTTGCCTACTGTACATAGTAATTCTTCTTTCTTTGTATATGTATTTTTGTATAATCTATAGTAATGTTTATCTGTATATTCTTTCTAAAATCACGCCTTCGTCATGGAAATCAGCTCTGAGTTGTTGAGGCAAGCGTGCATAAATAAATTTTTGTATGTATGTAGCCGACTTCCGCCCGCCAATCTATTAAAGGCGATACATGTGGGGGATGCTATGAAATCCTTTTGTTCTTTAAAGATGTTTTTTTTATGTTTAAGGTCAATGGGGAACTCCAACTATAAGTCTTGCTGGTGTGTTTGGTATGCTAGCGGGAGTTATTGCTGGTGTTGTAGAGTCTATTGGAGATTATTACGCATGCGCAAGGTTATCTGGAGCACCACCACCTCCGTCACACGCTATGAATCGTGGGATTGGTGTTGAGGGCATTGCATGTTTTCTCGCGGGCGCTGTTGGTACTGGAAATGCAACTACTTCGTTTAGTGAAAATATTGGAGCTCTAGGAATAACTAAGGTAAGGAGATCTAATTATTGTATGCTCTATCCATGATTGGCTAGATTTCAAGTTGACATCAGTTGGCTACATAACAAATTTTACGCACATTTATATATGTATATATGATTCTATACAAATATTTGCAAACCAACGTGGAGCCACTCAAATTAGGGTCATCTCAAAGGTTTAGTGTTTAGGTACGAGTTAAACGGTTTCCCCTACCAATCGGTTGTTGTTGCAAATGATCGGATAACATACTAGAAATACATGCATGCAGCAACCCATCGCCTCTTTTCAACTGATGAAGTATACAAATTCCACTTGAAATATTCCATTCCATGTTTAACATAATAGTAGTCGCTATGGTAACGTGAAAATAATACGAGATAATTTTTTAACTAAAAAATCATTGTTTTCATAATGAAACGGATTTCCGTCTAAGACGGGAAACTCGTGTGACGGATTTCCGTCTGATATGAGTATGAAACGAAAACCATCGGACGGATAAACCCGAAAAAGTAGGAGACCCTCCATCCCAGTTTCCAACGTTAGGAGCAGAAACCCGTTTTGATTTATTCGTCTGATATAAATTTAAGACGAGTTTCCCGTCTAAAGGCGGATTTCCAATCCTCGCACAAAGCTCGTCGCAGCGAGTGCATGCATGAACACTTTCATCCAATCTCAATGCTAAACAGATGCAGCGTGCTGCAAGACCTCGCAGCGAGCTGCAAGGAGCTTTGTGCGAGGACTGGAAATCCGCCTTAAGACGAGAAACTCGTCTAAGTTTCTCGTCGTTCAGACGGCAAAGTTAGACGGAAAAGTTGATAACCGAATTTATTTCTGGACGAGTTTCCCGTCTCAGACCGACATCCGTCCTCTAATCATAGGAATCCCAATAAATATAGTTGTAACAAATAAAAAGCGTTAAATTTGTTTAATTATGAATAAATTTGCATTGTATTACCGTGCTTTGACTGTTTTCAATCTTGCGCTGTGAATTCAGTGACGTAAGCAAATCGCGTATGCGAAGCATATGTTATAGTTATTGAGAAGGAAGGAAACTATTTCAACGATAGACACATACGCACGAAATTTGCCGACAAAATTTCGTGTGAAAACAACAAGAAAACCTCAAATAAATTATCACAAAAGAAACTTCGATACTCGAACAACATTATTCCATATAAAGTATTTTAAAAAGCAAATAAAAATGTACAAACAATGTACAAAACTTTTGCTTATTTGTCGAGAAATTTCGTGGGACGATGCGGGATGAAAAATGCGGTTTGAGGAGCGAATCTGATTGGTCGAAAAAATAAACAAACTGATGTGTGATTTCACAAATCCGGAGGGGGGAGAATTGAAAGTTTAAGACAAGTTTAAAAAAAAATGCGAAAATAATACGAAAAAGGCAAAGATTTAAAATACTTTTTTAAAACAAAAGTGTACTAAAATGTAAAGAAGAAAAGTGCGAAGACTATCACTTTTATACAGGTGCGTATAAAACTTTGAAACGTTTTTAATATAATTTAATTAGAATACAAACTATAAATTTCATCTTGCATTTATACTTGTTCATATACACTTGGTGGAAAAACTTCGTATAATATGCAAAAAGATACGAATAAAAGACATTTCAATCCAACGTTACACGTAACTCGTTTCTTTGAGTTAGTAATATTTTTTTAAATCGTGAACTATATTTTGTAGCGCTCGTATGTACATGCACTTTAATAAAAGTGCTGGCAAAAAGATTTACGATTTTTGTTGATATCAAACAATACAAAAGCAGAGTCAGTGGATGTGAAGACAAACAGCGGCCCTGTCAGTTTGAACAAAAACGTTTCTTACGTTTTAATATAAACGAGCCTATACCTTGCTAAAAAGCAATGCCAATGTCCTTTGTCCACACTCTCGTCGGATTTTAATACTTAAAAATTCTCAACGCCGACAATTATAAATGTCCATCAGACCATCACAAGTGTCTTTCAACGTCCTAGTTTCTTCCGACGTCCTAGTTTCTTAAAACATCAACAAATTAAGCGACGTAGTGTAGATTTCAAGCGTTATTTGTTATTGCCGTATACTCCTGTACGTATTATTAAAACATGTCCGCGTGTGCCATGATGCTGCAAGGCAGCAATGTCCAGTCATGAAATGGCGATTTTCAATCCAGCACTAAACCAATCTTCCAAGTAGCCTACAATTGAAAAGGGGATTGCACACCGATTACTTTATATCCATAGCAAACTTTTGATGCACCTAAAACACATTTAATTCAATACTAGAAAATACATGCATGCAGAAACCCTCGCCTTTCTGACAAAATCGTTGTATTTTCCGAACAAGAAGCATCTAAAGTAGTTGTCATGGTAACACGATAATTTTTTAAGAATATTCTTACAAATGAAAATCGCCTAAAAATATCACTTTTAATTACAAAATTATCAATTTCCCAACATATTTATGTTAGGTATGTAATTATACGTAATACAAGCTTCAATTTAAGGTAAAATTCAACCACAAACAATTCACAAAACGCTTTAAAGTGTTCTTTATAAAACTAAACCGCCTTTAACTATTAAATGGCTTTATCGATAAACTTTGAGTTTGCAATAAAATGATTTCAAATTCTCGCTTGCAAATAACTTTGCTTATTTAAAAAATTCAATATAATAAAAAAGGGAATCAATACACTGAAATTATATGCTGTCTTGTCTAGTTGTTTCATATACGCAAAGGCCGTCGTGTTTTAATTAAAACCATTATAAAATCAATATTTAAAACAAACTTACCTTCGTTAACGTCGGCTCCATTCTTTTAGCTGATTCTTTCGCCCTTTCTTTCTTGAAATTTACAAAATCTTGCAGAAATACGGAGCAAAAATGAAGAATATTTGCAAGAAATTTATCAATCATCAACTCATCAAATCAAGAAATATTTTCTATTTCGCTGTCGTCATGCAGCCGTTATAATGCAAACTTTAAATTGGACCAATCAGTGTCCGTTATTCATGACAGTCCGCCATATTTTTGAGATCAGTAAGGATGACCACCCATCGTTGGTGACCGACGCCCGCGCTCATTGATGAACTTTAGACTTCGCTAATGCTTTCGTTTCCCCGGGTGTAAATAGCCGGGGGGGGGGATTAGTACCTTCGCACGGCGCTTCGCGCCGCCGGCTCGGGGATAATATATCGAAAACATATATAGGCCGTGGGCTATGTGGTCAAATTGTATCGTTTCGTGACCCCCCTCTGAGAAATAGAAAATTTTTACATAATAAGAATCCTTACTACAATGTATCTGTACAAAAAAAGTTCCCAAGAAAAATACCTGCCCATTCTCGAGAAATCTTTATCCAAAATCTTCGAAATCGAAGCTTCATGTTTTGGCCGCCATTTTGAATAATCGAATTCTGAGTGATGGTATTTAGTGAAATTTACTCTCTCCAGTCTCTTTCTACTCGGTTCAGCACGAAATTAGGGGAAATTCGGGCTGGATGCAGGCTAGCTGACTTCCTTAAATTCTTTATATAAGATATAAGATCCGCATTAAAGAAGAAGGGAAACGTAAAATTTTCAAAAATAAACAGAAAATATGTTGCTGCGGTATTTTTCTATTGAAGAATGGAAATTTTTTATTAATTGCTTGTCAGTTTATATAAAAAAAATGCCGATAAACCAGTCTCAGAGGAAGATATAACAGGACTAGTCAACTGATGCATTCGATCGCACATTCATTAAATATATGGCGGTGGTAATACAATTTCTAGCCTTCTGACGGCCTAGTTGTATGATCCCTCTTAGGCGGGATGGGACGTTTTCATCCCACTTAGACTGCGCTTAGGCGGAATGGCGCGCATAGCCAGCCTCGTACCCAGGCGCAAATAAGTAAAAATAGGTACGATACAGTGTTTTTATATAGATCAGTGGCTAAGCTGAGCAAGCGCGCGGGGTGCCCCCGCGCGCTCGCTCAGCTTAGCCACTGATCTATATAAAAACACTGTACTGTGCCTATTTTTAGTTATTTGCCCTGGGTACGAGGCTGGCGCATAGGCGGGATAGAGCGTATATATGGGAATTTTTCATACCGTTTATACAAGAGCCTGGCAACAGATGGTAACACGAAAAGGTAAGATAACACGAAAATCCTGAATCCTTTACTTATCTTCGCACAAGATTCGGGAAATCCTATTGTATATCTTTTCAATGGAAAAAATTAAACGTCCTCACTTTCCACGTCCGATGCTAAGTATTCGGTGAAATCGTCGTACAAGTATTCTTCGTCGTTTGAATTATTATCAGGTACTGTATTTACGCAGTTCTGGCATTTACACAGTTCTGTGCACCGTAGTCCTGCTTTTAAACAAGAACACCTTTGTGTACTGCACCCTTTCTTACATCCACAATTTACAAACTCCAATAGTTGATCTGGGGCCACATTGCTGGTCATCCAATGAATTGTCAATTCTTCATTTTTCAATTCCCAACCTCTTCCCACTGGACTTGGTGTCACAATCAAAGCAAGTAAACATCGTTTCCAGATAAAAGCTTGGCAATTGGCTCGTTGGACGTGCTTCTTTAGGCAGTCTCGTGTTGGTGGCAGATATTCATCAGAAAAGCTCCCCAGCCGAAACATAGAGTACCGCACTTCGTTTACACACGTCATATCTTTATGGCCATACAAAGCGCAGACAAATTCCACCAATAGTTCATACAAATCCTCGGTAGGGTCAACTTCATCTCCAAGTATTCTGAACGCATCTTTGCCTTTGGGATTTTCAGACAAAACTTTCCAGGCTTTTCTTTTTCCTTTACCATAGAAGGAACTGACAGAGTCGCAACCTGTGAACGCATGGAACCCAACAATCAAGTTACATGTCTCGCTGCCTACTTTGTCACACACTTCGTTCACTGAAATGATCCTTGATTGATTCTGATTTCCGGTGATGAAGTGTAGATCGGCACTGAAATTCTGTTTCATCGCGACCATAAGAAGAAACACATCAGTATCTGGACTTTTGATAGCCACAACGGAAAAATCATTGTCGGATGCGTGTTTTGCATGAAGCAGCAAACGGGTATCTGCTTCTTCGTGATCACACTCTAGCTCTACGACTTCTATTGTCTCAACAATTGTAGATTGACTTGTGGGAGAAATTTTGAAGCACTTATCTCCCCGTGTAGCGTACAAAATCAATCCCGTCAAATCATCTGACTTTAAGTCTTTCCAACAGTCGATCAGAAAAGAGATGATAGCTTCTTTGTTTTTACCACTGTTGAGATACTTCTTCCATTGCGTAGGCGTTGGCTGACTCTTTCCATATATATTAACCAGAGTGCTTCCTTGGGCAGCTCTTCTACTTCTCTCGTTAGCCTTAATGCTATGATCTGGGTAACGGTCTGCAACAAAGTCTATCCGTGAAGCTTTGTGAAACCCCGCAAGGGACAACAACCGTGATAAAACATGAGCAGCTAGTTCACCAAAAGTCTTGGGAATTCTTGTCAGACTTTGTAGTAACGCCATTGCATCCACCATTATAGCACTGTTGCGGGGAAGAAAATGATTTACGCGTTCCGGTGACATTTCTTCCAGCATGTGCATCAAATTTGCCTTTACAGTTTTCGTTGGGTTACCATCTACAGTAGCAAGACTCAAAGGATACGGACCGAGCGAATAGCTTAAGACAATTTTCATGTCCACATCTCTGCTCTTCGCAAGAAGCAACAGACGAGCGCAAAGGTTTCCCGAGCTTTTCAAAGAAACTTCTTTACCTTCCGAAGTGGCTGTCTTTGTTGGTTTTTGAGAAGAAGAAAAGGTCTGAAGTTTTGTCTTCTTTATTGTATCAGATAGATCTGGTGTATCACTAAGGAGGTTTTCTCCAACAAATTGCATGAAGCGTTCTTCTCCAAGAGACTTTGCACAAAGTAGATCATGTTGAACGGCACATGGCGCTATGACACCGCTCGCGAGATGAATGAGGTTTGTCTGTTCCTTCTCAAACGGGTTCACCATGCTTTCAATCGTGCTGATGACGCTTTTGACTTCTTTTTCATAATTTTTTTTGTGAGTTTCATCTAAGTTCTTACGTTGCCTACGAGAACCATTAAAAAAAAGCATCGTTAAATTAAGGAACAAAATAATTAAAAAACAATGAAGAACATTTACCAGACAAAAAATTCTGAACATCCGATTGCACTGAAATGCACTTTTAAAAAACATTTAGTTCTTCTTAATTTAAATGCTTTATACCTTCCATTATCAACAGCACCAGCCATTATTTGACACTGCCGTGTGATCGCGGACCGTTCTGACTGGGAAAGTATCCACCTATTAACAGCTCCTTTGTTAAGGGTGAAGCCAATCAATCCTCCTTTTGTTTTGGAATCTCTGTTCGCTGTCTGCTCTATGGCTTGGTCACAAGCGATGGAAGAGAAACCATACCACTGTTGTCTCTGAACTGTCCAATGTCGTTTCAGGTTTTCAGCTTCACCTAATCAAGAATAAATGCACAACACACAATATATAGGGTGTTTTCATTTGACGTCACAGCAGCCATCTTGGTGTCTTACTTCAAACTTCCGACTTTCAACAGAGCGAATAATGAATTTTTTTTTTGTTTGTTTTGTTTAGTACTTGGACACCAGATATGGGATTAACAGTACATAAAAATACCCTATTAGATCAAATTGTAGAACTCAGTCCGACTACAAAATGCATAATATATGGTTGTATTTGGTCGAATGGAAACTAGGATTAACACTTCATTATAATTCTTTCTTACTTGGGTGTGTTTCTTCCAAAGCATTCATCTCAAGCCAGTAGACTGATGCATATCTTGAGTAGTTAACTCGATCAACGGCAAAAAACCATGGAAGCATCGATCTCAGTGTTGACAAATGAAGGAACCAATCACTTTTTTTGCGCGGATAAACTTCATCATCAAACCTTTGCAAAAAATAAAAGTCTGACTAACAACTCAAGTAGCATAGATAATATACCTCGTATACTGAAGCTCTAGTGATTCTTTGCACTGACAGGTGGGAACTAGTTTAGATAATTATAACTGTGTATGTATTTACTACGTTATGCAGAGTCCCTGTGATAGTTGTGTACCTGAAATATCAATGTAAGAACTCCAGAGTGAGAACGTTGGACATGTTTGCTTTTGTGCTTCAATGAACACGCCATACTGCGTCATGATATCATGAAAAGCTGGTCTGTCAAGCAGATTTTCGAAGTCATGACCTGGAAACGAAGTCATGACCTGGATCTTTCAGTATTGATATTTGATCTTCTATATCTTTGCGTTCCTCTGGAGACAGCGAATCCATGAACACCTGGAACCTAATTCTTACCAATACCTAATATTTATTTTAAATTTTTTAAAATATCGGGTTTTGACTCGCACGCACGCGCCACGTTTTTTTTTTTTTTTTTTTTTTCCCGTCCATTTACATAACAATAAGAAGTAGAATTAAATATTTACAAAATTAGGGCTAGGAACCTTCTAGAAACCAACAGGCTTTTGTTTAAGGTCCCTAGGTAATAATTATATAACTAGCTATATTCATAATCTAACATGCAGTTCGAATGTTGTTTTTTAAAGTCAGGAAATATATTATAATTAATGTACAATACATTACTGTAAAATAGTAAGCAGGAGTTGTATTACATTTGAAAGAGAAAAATAGATTTTTAACAAATGAAGAACGGGATATATATATTTATATATATTTACATTTACAAACATTTTACTGGTGAAGTGGAAATGTGAACTTGAAGTAATTAAATGAAGAAAGTACTTTTTTATAGTTGTTTTGAAAGTACCATAGAATTGGATTTTCTTATATTGTGTGGGAAGATTAATTAGATCAAATTAGATCACGTTCAGTGATGCTTGACCATATTTTATAGCCCGATCGATAGTGTGAAATAGTGTAGAAATAGTGTTTTGGATTCTGGTTCCAATAATACAATTACGAAAAAGATATGTCCAAACGGGCCGAAGTTTATATGTTCGGCGAAATGTATGGCTAGTTTACATTGTTCCTTATATTATGAAATATGATACGATACCTTACTTGTATTAAAATTCGCGTCGACCTAATGTTATTGTATTATAAAGCAAATGAGAACCATACAATAAATGTTTTAGTCCTTGTTGGTATTTTGAACGCACCGCTTTATCTTTACTGTAGCGCACAAAGCTCTTCTCGCGGATTATATTTCGCGCAGTACTAAAATTTGCGCACCCAGCGCTACACGAATTCTAGTACTGCGCGAATTTTAATACATGTACGTAAGATATTAGATATATTGTCGACATTTGGCTAAAACTATCGTAGTAAGGAATTAGGAGATTTTGTTCAATTAAAACTACGTTGTGTAGTCAAATTGTCAACCTTAACTTGTCCTTGTTCATATTCCAATATATTGTATAAGTTCGCTGGGTCCAAATTTTGGGGTTTTCGAGTCGTACAAAAAGAAAAACATTAATTCAACACGTAAGAAAGTCCAGAGTGCGACACAAAAATGAACACAAGTACACATGTTTATGAGTCTACAACGTATATTTATAGTTGTTTATTGAAGTCAAACTGTCAAACCTTTAACTTGTCCTTGTTAATTGTATTCCACTATATTCTATGTTAGGATAGGGAGATAGGGACTCAGGAGGTCTGGAACTGGTAATTGTGCGCGTGCGTACAAGTGTATGCGCTAATAAAGAAAGATGTACCACAAACATGGCATGAGCCGGCTACTACGTACATAGATACGAGCTTGTTACGATGAAAAAAAAATCAAGCAGTGGAGGAATCGATGGCATAATGGCATTTGAATCGATGGCATTTTGGCTTAATCGTTGCACCTTGAGCCTGCGATGCGCTAACGCAAACTCCATTACTCGACGACGAAAACAGAAAACTAGGGATTTAAGACACTTGACCTTTCAGGTCAGTGTAATAACAACTTTTTAACGAAATGAGCGTTTAAATGGCTTCCTTTGGCGACATTACGCCTCGGCCTTGTTGACAACTTATATACTCAGTGTTGTAACCTCCCAAGAATGACTTGAAAAATACAACTTGTAAGTTTTAAAAAAGTTAAAAAACATGTCGTAAAACAGTATAATAGTAAGGGTTCGTTATACAAGCAAAGTTTGGCTAATTAAAAGAAGGAAACAAGGCTTAAAAAGTCCAAAATTTCAAACACAAAATGGCTTCCCGAATTGTTACTAAATATAAAGGTTCACGTTAAAAAGCCAAATAAAAATGGCATTTCAGAGACTTTATTTTTAAAATTTTTCCAGGGGGCATGCCCCGGTGTGGATATGCACTCAGAGTAACATCACAAGCATCACATTCACCTGAGTACACTACACCAATTGAGTACACTACACCAATTGAGTACACTACACCATTGTTTGACACGCATGCCAAATGTTACAATTGTCAAAATGTTTCACTTAATTTTGACACACATCACCCGCCATATTGAACAAGTGCACTTGTCATAGAAAAAATTGTCAAAGTACAAAGTTTGTTCGTTTGTATGGGTCAACAAAGAAAACTTGTCAAAGTAATCTGAGCATTTGGTGTGATTGGCCAGCGGACAACTATAATTTTTCTGTCATGGCGGCGATAAACACCTTACGTTGGGCAGATTTGGGAATAACAAATTCTTACATTGCGGATTTGGGAATAACAAATTATTACTATTACATTGCTGGCTATTAATAAATTGTCAAAGTAAACTTGTTGACACGTTCACACAAGTAAATAAAACTTGTCATATGAAAACTTGCCATATAAAATTTGTTGCATATACACACGTGCACTTGGCAAATAAGACCAATCAGTGTTCGTCATTTCCATGACAGTCCGCCATTTTTTGAGATCAGTGGGAGTCCACCCTTGGATCATAGCCAGACGCCCGCGATGTTTGATGAACTTCACACTTCGCTAATGCTTTCCTTTCTCCGGGTGTAAATAGCCGAGCGGGATTAGTTCCCTCAACCGCCGTTGGCTCGGGGAAAATAGAAAATAAAATGGCTGTTTTAAAGTTACTTTAAAAGGTTCGAGCATTTGTTACAGTAATCAAATTCCTAAGAGCTCATTCTCGAGCTGAAATTGAGACGTCGATCTTTGCGCGTCGTAGATCTTAATGACGCACCTCAGTAAGGTTCTGAATGAAATAGATAACCTTTGCGCGAATGGAAGTTAGAAGCGTTAATCAAACCACGAATCAAACCCGAAGTGCACAAGTGAAATAAATTATACACTGCCTGGGAGAGTGAGTTGGTTTAATTTCCAGGTTCATACATGCAAAATATCAAACCTGACCAAGTACCTACCTAATATGAACACGTTTTTAATTGGTTTTCTGAAACCGAAAAGTGATCAGTGTTAAAAGGCGCAGTTCAGCCTTTTGAATGATGGGTTTTAAAGCGCATTACAACCCTTTTAATTGAAAAAACTAGGAAAATCAATTCAGCATATTAATTCAAGATCAGCGATCTCAATGTTTTAAACATTTTTTAACACTTTTAATGTTAAAAACATCGAGATCGCTGATCTTGAATTATGCTTAATTGATTTCCCTAGTTAGTTTTTTCAATAAAAAGGGTTGTAATACGCCTTAAAAACCATCATTCAAAAGGCTGAACTGTGCCTTTTACGACTCCTTCTTTAGAAATATGACTTCTACAGAGTGCATCTTTTTTGTCATATTGATTGAGATTGTTCATATTGGCAGGTACCTCCTCAGTTGAAATATTTTTGAATTCAAAACATATAATGGTACAAAAAAATGCCCAACTTAAAATACACATGTTATAACTAGAGAAGTCTTCCACGACATCCACTTGAGCCACATAAACAATAAAGAGACTTGTCTCTAACACTGCCGACTTCATACATGTAATCCCAAGTCAGTTCTGACCCCGCCTTGATATTGCTACATAAAAGCAAACAGATAGTATTACGGAATAGTTATGAGCGTTCTTTGGAGAGCAATAGACCTTTTGCAACAATTGGTCACGTGAGACCTTTTAAGGCCGGATATTTGCAGGCAAAATACTAGCGAGTTTTTCACTGCATGAAATTTAAGCTGCTCCCAGACGTCGAATGTTTGTCGAATTTAATTCGTTAAATTTAGTTCTGTTGATTTTTTTATTCGAGGCAGCACACTACGATCTTGTCGAAATATTTGACGGATTTCGTCGCATAATCGACAGAAATTGACTTCGAGATTAGGGGTGCACCGGATTCCAAATCCGGCCGGAATTCCGGCCGGATATAACGAATTTTCCGGCATCCGGCGGGATTTGGAGAAAATCCGGCCGGATTTAAATTTCTGTTTTCGCCTTAAAAAATTCACCAAGAATGGGATAAACCATCAATTTGGCAGCTTTAAAGTTTTAAAAACACTTATATTATTATAAAATATTAAGTTATAAACAAAAACATATTAAAAAAAGGTTTAACACAATCAAAAATCTAAACTGACACTAACTAAAAATAGTAAAAAACATAAACCGCCATTTTGAATACTGATTTATCCCCAATTGCACCATTACCGGTTTATCTCAAATCCGGCAAATCCGGCCGGAATTTTTGTTCAAATCCGGTAAATCCGGTTCCGGCCGGATTTGAAAATTCCAAATCCGGTGCACCCCTATTCGAGATTCCCTTCCCATCCACTGCTGTTATATATTCTCGTGAAATTTGGTTAAAACAAGCACTCGTGAGTTTTTCAAAGACCTCAAAAGCACTCGTCGTCCGGACTCGTACTATTTTGATGCTCTTTGAAAAAAAACATCGTGCCAGGTTTTATCCAAATTGCACTCGAAACAATCCTATTACCTATGGCGATACTAATAATATGCACGAAAAAATTCTCAATGCTGATTGGCTAAGAGTGGTGCAATTTTTTCGAAATACAGTGCCACAAAATGAAATACACTGCAAATTTCTTAATTTTCTTAATTTTTTATTTTTCAAATTTCTTAATTTCGAAATGCGACTTACGCACGTGCCGTTAGGCAGCTTCCTATTCTTCATGCGCTTGTGTTTCGCCAGAGTTCACTTGACCCAGTCTTTCGCTACAAAATTTGCGAACTTCACAGGGCTATATTTTCCTCATTTTACAACAATTCGCAACGTATGGTACGTTGTCTAGACCAAGATTTTGTCTATAGAGCATCCATTGAGCTACAGAGTCCAGTTGCCACAAGATAATTCACGTACACATTTGAAGCATTTTGTTCTATCAAACGAGATTCCCAAAATCCTGACATAAACATGCAATAGCCGATTAACCAAAATAATAGAATAACCGCGTTCCAAGGAAATTTTATAACCAAAGGAACTTTTTGCTTAGGAATCTAAGGAATTCATAACAAAGCAATGTGGTGCTCGTGTAATTATTAACCCAATACTTACTTTTGAGCAAAAAATGCAACCCAAGGAAAACGCATATCATGGGTATCGATGAAAACATTCTGTACAAATAAATTCGGTGAGCAGGAATGCTGAAGAAAGAACGGAACACTATTAATTAAATGTGGAAAGGGAAAGGACAATAATCAGCATTCCAAAAGATAATTGATGAATTTAGAAGTGGTTCTCAGGTCGGGTACCAGAAAACGCACACGATCAGACAATAGGAAGGCTGGGTTACACAACTAAGGTACAATGAAAGCACACTTACATTAAGGAATCTTCCACAGTTACCAAATGTAGCGTCTATGACGTAACAATGCTCCTCTCCGAAAAGCGAACGTGTTTTAAGATATCTCACATTGGAGATTTGACCATTTGCGGAATCGTTTTCTGCAGGAAAAACTAAATAATTTTACAATTGACGTTTTAATTCCAAAGTCAATAGACTTATTGTACTTTTGTCCCAATAGCCTCGTTTCCATGTTAGCCTGTTTTGGCGTGGTAGGCCAAATGAAAATGTTTCTGTTTGATCTCAATCCAAATTACAAGATTATCCTTAAATATATTGTATGCGAAACATTAGGAAATAATGCATGGAAATAATGCATGAAAACAAGATTGGAGCAAGAGTACAATACAAAGTCGAGTGTATTTGATTTATTTGTATAGGTAATAGTGAGGTTTCGAGTGCAATTTGTAAAAAACATGCACGAGCGAGTTTTTCAAAGACTATCAAAATTGAACGAGAAACCATACTATTACTTATTAATAATATACATGAAAAAATTACGCAGTCACGTGCGTAAGTCACATTTAGAAATTAAGAAATTCGAAAAACAAAGAATTAAGAAAATTAAGAAATTTGCACTGTAGTTCTTCTTTTTTTGCATTGTATTTCATTTCTGGCACTGCATTTCGAAAAAATTGCACTGCTCTCAGCCAATCAGAATTGAGAAATTTTTACATGTATATTATTAGTACATAAATAAAAAAAACAAACCATAAAACAAGTAAAAGACAGATTCTTTTACATAAAGGAACTATCCTTAGTATCCTAATAACTTTACATTTTATCGACAATATTAATGACGGTTTTGACCAATCCGCCCCCGCCAGGTAAACAGCTTTTTACTGATCCACTCTATTCACTCTGAATTTTAATCCCCAGTAAAGGCTGCTTTCCAGTAAGTGTTTTCATACGTGCGTGCGTGCACACGACACGCAAGCTATGAGTATGCGAAAGTATAAGACAATTTACGGTAAAGAAAGCGCGAGAAATAAATCTTGTAAATCTGATATAAGAGTAAGTTCTGAGGCTTCATCGGGATCCTTGAAGGCAGACATAATTCATCAAAGCATCTACTTCTTCTCACTTACAATGCACCTAACATAGCCTGTGCGCAGTCTCATGATACCGATCATACTATGTAAAAGACTGCGCAACAACGAGGCAAAGCCCAGCGAAAGATTGCGGTGGTTTGTATACGATACCCTAGAGCATAGCTAACTTTAACTATGGTTTTAACTATACAGTTAACGCTAACTACATTTTTATACAACCGACTGAACTACGTGGTTAAAGTTAACCACTAATTTAACTACAAAGCGGATAGTTGAAAAGTAGTTAACAGTTTTATAGAACCGCTCCCAGAGAGATAAAGCAGACCTGGTTAGACTTCTATCACATTTTGAGTAAATTTGATATCAGCACTCTATAATTACCAGATAATGAGCTGGTCAATATTAGTAGGTACACAAAATTTGGTGACTATATTTTAAAAACTGTACTAGCGTTGTTTCTAAAAACAAAAAATTTAATAGTAAATGCGTGGGAATTTTGCATCAAACGGGCCTCAATCCCATGCATTTCCCCATATATTTTCGAATTAAAATAATTTTTAAAAACAGCCAGTGTCACAGTTTTCAAACTTAAAGTCTGCTCCTTGACCTGCTCTTTTCATATCTGGTATTTATGAAATGAGAACATATTTTAAATGGACACAAAAGCGTGATAAAGGTCTGTTAGATGGCAAATTTTCCACACGAATAAAAGTAAAAAGTGCACTTACCTTTCTCAGACAATATTTTTTCTTCCCGATCCTTCTTGCGCCTGTTTATTAAATCAATAGCAGTAATAGCAGGGGAACTGCTCCGACTTGAAGTCGACTGAGACAGTGAACTCGAATTTCGTGAAGGTGAGCTAGTTTCTGACCGGTCATTGCTATCGTCTTTATCACCATGGCTACTGGATTTTTTGTCAATCGTACAAATGTCTTTGGATGTCTCACAAATGTCGTTTGTTATTTCACCAGAACTTTGCTTGTTTTCTGTATTATCATGAAGTTTGAGCAAAGATACATCTGGACTCACGACGCGTTTTTTAAGTTTTTCTATCGTTTCATCCAAAACAGTACCACGTCTAGTTAACACGGGAGGTTGCAAGCTCTTTGGTTGACTTGCAGCAAGCCGTTGTAGGTCGTCAGCAGAAAGCAACTGGGGGACATCATCTTTTGTTGAGCCAACAATATCCCCTTTGGGGTTTGCCTTTTCTTGGTCCATTTCACTGTCAGTCACTTGAGCTTCAGAATTTTTTTTGTCCTCCACACTTTCAATTTTATTTTGCTTTTCTTCGATAGAAGAAACAGGATCCACGTTAGAATTGCATTGAACTGCAGTTTTTGTACCACTGTTATCTGTAAGGGATGGAACAGAGAATTAGCCACTTTGAAGCTGGCAAGGAGACTAGGGCAGAGTGTTCAACAGTACCAATACAAGGAAATGAACTCACCGCTGAAAAGAGAGACTCAAAATTAGTTGGTATACAAAGTTTGACCACATTTGGATAAATATCAAATACTGAGCTTTAGCAAATTTTGCGTTTTATATATATTTTGCGTTCAAAAAATGCGTTTTATAGTAAATTTCCCAATTTTTGAAAGATTGTAATTCATACCATGCATATGTATCCAGCAGTCAAGTGTGTACGACCGATTTTGAGCTCATCGTTTCATTGATAAAATTACTTTCTTTATTTTGTTACTTTTCAACACTAGATCCCAGTTTCCTCATCAACATCGGAATGGCGAATGAGAAAACTATTGTTTAACCAACATTTTTGGGACTAATGAGGACAAATTCATTAAATTTCGATTCAATTTAGACGTAAATTGGATGAGAAAATAGCAAGAGTTGGCATTGATACAAGAATTTTCAACAAAGCGTCGCTCTTGATAAATTTACGGCTTTTCCAACCATATTTCAGCACAATTCGGAATAACCAAGGCCGCCGAAAACTAGCCAGAGGCGAGGTTATGAAGCTATTTTTTAAAACGTCAATTACAGGACCAACATAAGCCTTTTGACTTCCTAACATTGCAATGTTCCAATACGAAAAAAAATCATTTTAAATTTTCCAAACCTCCTGTTTTAATTTCCTGACTTTCTGTTCCGTTCTGAGCGTTGTCATTGGTGGATTATTTGTTAGCCAATTTGCAACGCGCAGAACAGAACAGGAAGTTAGGAACTTGTAACAGGAAGTTAAGAACTTCTTACAGGAACTGAGGAAAATTTAATCGGCTTTTAGCAAAATTGCAAGGGAGTTTTTTTAATGGCAAAGGCAAATGAGGAAAATTGCAATCCATTTAGAAACTCAAAAGAGGAACTCTTCACGTAGTTTACCTGTAGAGGTCGACGTTGGTCGAGGTGTGAAATACCAGGTTTGAAAACTTACCCTCAGGCACAGGTTGTGGTGAGACTCCATTCACAGTTTCACATGTGCCTTCACTAGAAATAGCAGATGTATGACCACCTGTCACATGCTGTTTCAAAAATAGCGAGGTTTTTTTCAAGTCATTATCAGCTCTCTTCAATGCCAAAATACACCTAAAAATAGCCACTGGCATAAGATTCTTTGTATATTAAGCTGCAATTCTTTACTATGTCGCGTATTTGCGATGAAAAGCGTTCAACACATAAAATCGTTTTGGCGTATACCTTCTCCAAATTATTTTGTTTTAGCTTTATCCTCTAGTTTATACTGTTATAGTTCAATGGTGGATCCAGCAAAGTTTTATTTTTTTTTTTGGAGGGGCGTGCTAACCAATGTCGAAACGAGCGCCGAAGGCGCGAGATTTCTAGGGTGGTCCGGGGGCATATTGCCCAGAAAATTTTCAAAATTTGGGTCTCTGAAATGGCATTTCCAGCATTCTGAGAAAACATTCTGGAAAATTTTTAGATTCTCAAAACATTTAAAAATTCAGAATATTTAATATTGGCTATTCCACTACTGTCAACTAGTGATACGCAACTGAATTCCTTAACATAAGTTGGTTAGAATTAGGATAAACGTCATTTTTGCATCCCCCATGCACCCCCGTTGACCAGAGCCTGGGGGGGGGGGGTCACCCCATCCCTAAATCCACTACTGTTATAGTTACCTTTTTAAATGCATCTACCGGTTCAGAAGTAAAAGATAATAGTCAATTAAAATATAATTACCAATGATGCTTCAAAATTGGCGCCATATTTACAGCAATACATTCAAGCAAAACTTACTGAACTTCAGATACCTTTTGATATGAGGACTGGACTAGATTTAAAGTCCTCGCAATTTGTTGAAGCCTAAGGTGAAGCCGAGGACAGGATCAAAATGCGAGGACTTGAAATCTAGTCCAGTCCGAGGATTTGAAATGACATCTCATAAATTACTACTTAAAGTGAGGTGAATTAATTTTGATCCAGTCCTATCACTGGATCAATTTGATACTTCATCAGGTATGCAGTATTATCATGTTAGCAAAATAAAGCAACGTGTTTGGCTACCACGCACAAAAAATTACCACGCACAAAAATCGCATTAATAATTCATGAGAATTATTAATGCGATTTTTGTGCGTGGTCATGAGAATTATTAATGCGATTTTTGTGCGTGGTAATTTCGACTAGGCATTTCAATACGTCTACTACAATTAAGTTCTTTATAATTTCTTAATATACACTCACATCATTGGAGTGCCCAAACGTGATAAAGCACTCGCTTTTGATTCTCTTTCAACGATCAAAGACTCTTCGGGAGAAATACGCCTTTATGCAAACAAAAACTTTGTGTAAGGCAAGATTTCGCCAAGATTCAATATTTACCCACTATCGTATATGGTATCTTTATACCTTATACGAAAGTGCATGGGCTTGCGCTGTTGCGGATTCCCTGCCATGTGCTAATAGTTTATATTTTTACAAGGGCTAAGCTATTGAATTAAATTAAATCTTAATAGTAACGACATATTATCGCACACGTTGCAAAGACGTATTACGCAAAATTCATGGAAAAGTGTTTTATATCTTCCAATTGAAGCTAGCAAAATAGCTTGTTGCGTCCTACAAAATAATTAACAATTAGCATAATACTCGGGAGGTGATTTTCACGCAATTTGATTGGTTACTAAGCTCCGGATATCCGGTTACAGACGAGCAGATTTTTGTACTAAACGATGCTACGGTTCCGACTGAGAAAATGCTAAACGACACACGCTAATACAGATGGATAGTGCTTTTCACGCTATCTAATACTTAAAACGTCATATACAACAGTGGTTATACAAAGGATGACTAACCTTTCCCTTCTATTCTGAATATCTGTGTTCTGTTAATGAAGAGAAAATGGCAAAGCAATGTCAAAGTGAACGTATATGTAAATGTGGAGTAAAATAAAGTGAAATAGAAAAATACATAAAATGAGGTACAGTAGATGTGAAGTTTAAGGAAAGCAACTTATTGTAAAATAGAAAATGTATTAAAAACAACGCATTAGAAATGTTAGTATACGTAGTATAGGTGATGGTTTCGAATAAAATTTGGATAAACCATGCACGAGTTAGTTTTTTCAATGAGCATCAAAATATCACTTGAGGACTGCTTTAAGCTGATTGGTCGATTTTAGATCCCATTGTTTTTCCACCAATCAGATCAGTTTGTTACAGATTTTTGAACTGTTGTACATAATTTTGCACTGTTGTTTGAGATTAACTGCACTGAAATTAAGTAACATTTTTATGTACAATATTAGTAATAGAAATGTTAAGTCATATGAAGTTGCAGGAGTTTATGTTTATGTAATACAATCTACTACTACCTTATCCTTATCGATTCCATCACTGCTCGAACTACTATCCACATCAAAAATGAACGTGTGATCATCAGCATTGTCGTCATCATCAACCTCGTCATCCTCTTCACCAATGTCTTCATAATCATCATCATCATAATCATCTTCATTCCTTGATCCAATGGCGCTGGGGAAAATAAATTCCATGTTAAACGAACTTTACTGTCGCTAAGGTAAAACCTCCTCTACCAATGAGAATACGAGGTTGTTTACTTTGTATTGTAAAATGAAATTCACAATGTTTTTCTCGGTACTTGACTTTAAGTAAGTACCTTGACGCCATTTCGCTACAAATTCTGTTCGAATTATCAAATCCTGTAGTCATTCGAATTTCATTTTACAGTCCAACGTAAAAACATAGCATTCTCATTGGAGGAGGAAGGATTTACCTTGGCAACAATGAAGTTTGCCCCTAGTAACGTCAACTTTCATCCAATAAACATCAAGTTTGAAACAATGAACAAATTTAATTTATGCACGCCTCACGGTCAATTGCAATTGGCTGTATGTCAGGCTGAATTGGTTCTTAACTGCACGGTTCTTACTTCTAGTAAAGAGCAATTGTTCCTGGTTCACTGTTTTGCATCGTTGAGTACAAACAACATATTATGTTTTTGCTTTTGCAATGGTATTAAATCAAACATGTATCTGTATCCTGGCCTTAGAACATGCACTCTAAAGTTTTTTTGTCAGTTTGAAACTTAAAAATCTTATACATGCTTATATCAAGATATGTATTTGTTATTGGTCCGGTATCGGTAATTTGATTCACTGGCGAGTGGTCCGGGTTTCCTCATCCGCAGAAGAGTGAAAACAGTTTATGAATTTCGGTGCACTTCGAGTTAAACACGATGTACATGGGTTGACATTTCTTCACGAAAATGCGGAATAAACACTCAAATAGTACCATTGACTTTAACGCTGTGAATAAATGTTCAACATCAATTTTGTTGTAAATCTTTTATTCAGTAACAACAAAGTCGAAAACTTAACGTTTTGACAGAAATATTAAACGATAGACATATTCTTTAAAAAACCGTTTAAAAATCCGTTCAACTCCCGGCAATAAACTCATTGTATAATTTATTTAGGACACACAAACAGTCTATACAGGATATAAATCGACTATGGAGTAAGGTTGTACTAGGAATGGAAGTTATATCTTATACTTACCTATTGCCGCTATAAGAGAAATTATCATCCGAATGCAACATATCATCAATAACATTATCATCTTCTTCAAGATCGGACACATCAGACTCATATCCTTCTTTTGCTTTTTCGGCCACCTCTGAAGAGAGAAAAGGTCTATTACTTCTTTAATTTCTAAACATCCTATACTTTTGATATAACCTGTATCATATCGTATTACAGTAAAACATGTTGAGATGCATACATTGCCATTGGCCCTTACCAACAATGCATACATGTATCAATGCAATGTATTTGTTTTAATATACAGTATCAACAGTAAATCGAAATCGGCAATGAGTATACTCAAGACTATATATAGTCGAAACAGCTTTATATTCGTGGTAACATAGCCATAATATCTAGGGTCGGGCGGTTCAGGGTAAAATATGCACTGGGTATTATATTTTTTCCTATAACTTCAGCACATCGGCACAAGCAAGAATTACAGTTTTCCAGAAGAAGCAATGAACCCACCCCGTTTCACTGAAACCCTAGTTTAGGTGCAGACATGCAGATGACCAAGATTTAATTACTCTGCAATTCGGTTTCCACACAACCCATGGTTCCGTTCGACATGCATTGCTTCCATACACAGCAATAAACACAGCAATAAACTGCAGGAACGTCTGCATATTTGCCAGTACGAATCCCTTCATGTGCTACCCCTCCACCTCTACAATTTAGCCAAACGGTCGTTAATTCCCTATACATGACTGTATTGGTAGGAACGAAAGAGCGGACCGGAAAAAGGACTTATTGAATATGTCTTGCAGGTACATGTGAATTGTATATTTCATCTCGTAATCCCTATAAATTGTAATCAATAACCTATATTTGTATACAAAAAACTTATTTATTTCCTAAGAAATTTATTTTTGTTTCTAAGCAATATATTCTTACCAATATAGTCTAGCTCAGCCATATATTCATCACCATACTTTCTACCATCCTGTCAAAATTAAAATACAAATTGTCCCACTGCAACAACGTCATGTTCAATAATTATAATATAAATATTACAACTATTAATAATATACATGAAAAAATACTCAATTCTTATTGGCTGAGAGCAGTGAAATTATATTTGTAATTGCACTGCAGTGTAATTACTGCAGTGCAATTAACAAAACAAGAGCAGATCCTGGAAACGAGACCAGAAAAATCAACATGGCGGCAAATATTGTGGCAATGTAAATTTTCACATATTTGACAACCTTTTGTACACTTTCAGTTGAAAATTGTAAGTGAATATAACAATTTAAATACAATGAACACATATAGACTGAAAAGGTTTGCTGACAATGAAAACAATGTTCAAACGGAGTAGGTGAGGGCACAGCCATAGGTGTTATCGAAGTGTGTAATTTTTTCACGTATATTGTTAATAAGTAACAGCATGGTTTCAAGTGCAATTTGGAAAAACATTCACTCATGAGATTTTCAAAACCCACACATTTGAAAGGTCTTGAAAAACTCGTGCATTTTCTTCCAAATCGCACTTGAAATCAAACATATTATTACTTATAATAATAGCAACGTCCATGCAATTATTATATTCTACAACTATTATAACAATACTGTTTATAAGGAAAATGTTAGTCCTTTGTGTAAAAATATAGTTGTTTTGTTACCTGATTTGCAAGTTCTTCGTTCAATATATAACCAGCATAAGTACATACAAACGTTCCAGAAGGAATATCATCTGTCGCTCTCAAACCCCAACCTCTGTAAAAAGAGAGGAGAAAGTTAATTTGTGACGGTAAAACTGTGCAGCTTTTAAAATATGGCGGTATAAAACATTAGAAAATTAAAATTCGAATAGGCTAATAGAAACAAATACGATATTAGTCTAGGACCTGTATATGAGTTTGTATGCGATTCATTTAGGACAGGTAATCTCAACTGTTTTAGGGTAAAATGACCATGGCGGTCAACATGGCATATGTGCGAAAACCTGAATCCGGGACGAAAGTCCTGAAAATGACCCGCCCTGAAACGGCAGTGTCGACATAGCTCTAACTTCCAAAAAGGAAAAGCGATAGCCTTTCTGAAGTGCTTATAGTGTTTAGAAGGGTTGCTTTTAGGGGTGGTCATTGGAAGGAAAAAATTGTCAAAGTATAATATTTTACCAGAAAATGACTATGCACCACCCCAGGTAAATTGCTGATTATGCACAAAATAACTAATATGCCTGGCAGAAATTAAATATTCTTATTTCCTAAAAAAAATTATCATGGGGTGAAAAACTATGCTTAATTTAATATAAATATTGTTGATTTCATAAGGATTGTCATTGTTTTCTTTAAATATAATACATTTTATTTCACTTACCCCCCACGAAAACACGATTTCAGCCATATTTTGCCGTCTTGTTTGCTTTTTATCGCCGAATCTCGCAAATATCATCCAGTTATTGTACTTTTACATAATTATAAATGGCTGAAGAAGATTTCAAAGAAGTTTCATCCACTTTTGTAACAGTGCAGTGTATTTTATCTTCGATATTGTGTCCTTCGATATTTCGTCAAATTGCCGCCATTTTAATGGCTCGCCGCTTCTCTGCCCGATAAATGCCACTTCTTCGTTTTCATATGTATTTAGATTACATTATCCAAGAGTACTTCCTTGTAGAATAGTACCAATCCAAAAATTGAAAATATTATTGGTACTTGGGAGGAAAAAACCTCCCATAATAGTTGTCCTGTTTGAATTCAAAAGAAATAATTTAAAAGTCACGCACAAGTTCGCGAAAACACCTCGTGTACTACATGACAGGGGGGTAAATATTTTCACGAAACGTTTGTTCGCCACCACAGCAACCTAACTAAATGTATTATTTTTTTGTATTTTTATAATTGATACGCAAATATTTATTGCTTTTATCATAAATCACAAATATACAATAAATATAATGTACTTAGTTAGGTTGCTGTGGCCTGTGGTGGCGAACAAACGTTTCGTGAAAATATTCACTCCCCCCTGTTATGTAACACACGAGGTGTTTTCGCGAACTTGCGCGTGACTTTTAAATTATTTCTTTTGAATTCAAACAGGACAACTATTATGGGAGGTTTTTTCCCCCCAAGTACCAATAGTATTTTCAATTTTTGGATTGGTACTATTCTACAAGGAAGTACTCTTGGATAATGTAATCTAAATACATATGAAAACGAAGAAGTGGCATTTATCGGGCAGAGAAGCGGCGAGCCATTAAAATGGCGGCAATTTCACGAAATATCGAAGGACACAATATCGAAGATAAAAAACACTGCACTGTTATAAAAGTGGATGAAACCTTCTTTGAAATCTTCTTCAGCCATTTATAATTATGTTAAAGTACAATAACTGGATGATATTTGCGAGATTCGGCGATAAAAAGCAAACAAGACGGCAAAATATGGCTGAAATCGTGTTTTCGTGGGGGGGTAAGTGAAATAAAATGTATTATATTTAATGAAAACAATAACAATCCTTATGAAATCAACAATATTTATATTAAATTAAGCATAGTTTTTCACCCCATAATATTTTTTTTTTTGAAATAAGAATATTTAATTTATATTTAATTTCTGCCAGGCATATTAGTTATTTTGTGCATAATCAGCAATTTACTTGGGGTGGTGCATAGTCATTTTCTGGTAAAACATTATACTTAGACAATTTTTTCCTTCCAATGACTACCCCTAAAAGCAACCCTTCTAATCACTATAAGCACTTCAGAAAGGCTATTGCTTTTCCTTTTTGGAAGTTAGAGCTATGTTGACACTGCCGTTTCAGGGCAGGGTCATTTTCAGGACTTTCGTCCCGGATTCAGGTTTTCGCACATATGCCATGTTGACCGCCATGGTCATTTTACCCTAAAACAGTTGAGATTACCTGTCCTAAATGAATCGCATACAAACTCATATACAGGTCCTAGACTAATTAGGTAGGCAAAACAAACCAACAGTGGTGAATGCGATTAATCTAGGGGGGAAACTTTTTACAACTCCCAAAGATATTGCAGAGGGCTTTAATGATTACTTTTCAAATATTGGACCTGATTTAGCTAGCAAAATTGAAACTTCAAATTATAATTTTGAAACATATACAAAAACTAGCCTCCTCCGCAGGCCTCTCTATGGGTTCTAGCCTGCGAATGGGTTTGAAAAAAAAAATTTCTGGGAGAGAGGCCTGCCATAAATCGAACAAAATGGACGTGTCAATGTACCTTGTGGCCGTGTCAATGTACCCCACCCCCTAAGTAGGCTTTTGACCCTAATTATATATTCAGTTTGAAATCTTCAGGCGAGGAGCGAAGCTTGCGAGTATTAACTTTAAAGGTAGGTTACAGTCCCTTCTGCGCATGTCTGTGATTGTTTTTGCCTGGGGACTCCACCGGAAGTTGGGCATCTCGGTTTATACTCGGTCCAGTCTCATTTCTGGCAATAACACGCGCGTTGTTTTTTCGCAAGCGAAGGAGTGAAGCTAAAAGTTTCCAAAATACATTGAGCTTTTTTGAGCGACAATCCTTCAAATAACGAGTTTTTGAGGCAACAGGACGAGTAGGAAAGAATACCACGCTAGCAGGGATGCTTCCAAAGTGTATAAAAGTGTATCTATTTTATTGTTTTTCCTCGATGGAGAGCGTGCCATTTCTGTCTGCGTTTCCCCATGATATACCTACATCCTCAAGCTTCTACTAAAGGTTTTCAAGAAAAGAATCCAAGAAGGATTGGACATTTCACCCAACATAGCTGCTATTCACTCCCTTCACTGCATGTGGATACTTCAGTGAAATCGCTTGTTGAAGCCCATCAATCGAGGTTTTAATGACTATAAAATTCTCTTTATTTACTATTCTAACTTTAAACTATACACTATCGTTACATACGAACTGTTCTCTCTTTATTTACAAACTGAAACCCATATAATTAAGGCCTAAAGATATGATACTCGTGAGTAGGAGTTGTCAATGAAAAAGTGTTAATGAGCAATTTGGAGTCAACATGTTTTGGATGGCTATTTATATAGTGTTTATTGTCAGAGTGATAAATGATATAAATTAATCTACTTGACCGTGATTTACTGTCTTTGACTGTCTTCTCATGGACAACTTGTGCTCACTTAATAGAAACACATAAAAAGTTTCTCTGATCAAAGTATATTTTAATCAAAGCAGCTTACAGCCCTCGAAAACGCATTCGGCAATTCCGACCTAAATGCCGACCTAAATGCCAACCTAAATGCCGACCTAGATGCCGACATATCAACCTCCCAGGCCGGCAAATTTTTGCCGACGTTAATTCAGCAAAAGTAAGAATTTTTTGGTGCTGATAGCTGTTAAAAAGTCAGCAATTATAAACACACTTTGGTGTATAAGGTTTAAAAATTGACGTTTAAAAATTAAATTAAATTAGCTCAGGTAACCGGGCTGGCTCGCCTCCATATAAACACCGCCTAAGACATTTAGTTTATATAAAACATTTTGATCACAGAAACTTATATGATGTAAACAAACTCAATTAATAATTACTAGTATATTTTTTCACCCTAATTGTGACCAAAAGCTTGCATATAAGAACCTACAATTTAAGAACATGTGAGGCTAAATTTTTTATTTAGTCAAATAGACACCCTAAATAAGAATTTGTTTAGGCTAGCATTTCATGTTCTTATTCTTCATTTTATCACATGAAGACAAATCAAATCTAAAAATGTATATAAATCAAAGAAAATAAACTCTTCACAAAGTAATGAAAATGATCCAGAACACTGAAAATGTCATTGTTCAGGTTTACAGTATACTGAGCTTTACACATAGCTATTAGTTAGATAATTTGTGCACAATTTATATATATGTGTATACATGTAAACTATACCTCGCATACCAAAAATGAGTTGCTTTTCTTTAAGAATTTAACCTAATTTCCAAGCTCTAATGATCATGTAGTCACTACATGTATTGCCAAAAGGTGGGATCTGGGGGTTTGAAATCCGAGCTTTCTTTCTCCTAGATGGATTGCCTCCTACACAAAGCATTCTGAAACACAAGCCAGTTCATATTGTACTATGATTGCCTGATCTTGTGCATGTCGCAAAGAGTGGCACCATCCCATATATATATATATATATATATATATATATATATATATATATATATATATATATATATATATATATATATATATACCGGGTGGCGCAAAAAAAAGTATAACTGTTTGATTTAGTACAGCGAACAATCTATAAGGGTTACATCCCTGAAATAAACGTAGCTGTATTCATAATAGTCTAACTTAAATTTTGAGCTATAGCATGTTTATTTACGTGCAATATTGACTGGGATATCGCCAAATAAAATTTGGAACGAAGTTTTGAAAATCTGACAAATTGGCTAAAAATGGCCTATTAAACTGTTTTGATAAATTTTAGAATTTCGTCAGACATATTCGCTTGTATGAATTTAATTTGAATTGAAACGTGTAACGAATGATTTTCCTTATTTATTTATTTGTTTTATTATCATTTGAAAAGCAACAAAATTTCGAAAAAGATGGCTCTTTTAATTAAGAATTGCTTCGCAGTATTCCATGTCCCATAGCTACAGGGAATTAAATTAGATCAACAACCGAACAATTTGAGCAACAACCGAACAATTTGAGACAGCTTCGTGAAGCGATTATTGCTGATTGCCATAACTTTGACCAGCAAATAAATCCAACGTTAATTCGTTCGATAGTATGGTCACAC